CGGTACAGCAACTTGAAAGTTTATTTTCCCTGTAACTCTGTGTCTGGAGCTCACTGTCTTGCTGGGGTTTCTAATCTTTCTGTCTGTCTTTATTTTCCCCATTGCCTGTTGCTATCAGCATGTTCATCGTGCTTACAGTAAAGAAAGTCATCTAGAAGTTATTCATCTGACGTGTTGCAGGCGATTCATCCTCTGTGACATGTCAGTACATTCTGGGGGGCACCTGTAGGTCACCGCTTTCTTTTTTACTGTCATAGTCAAGTAATTTGTCATGCTTTTGTGGGATGCTCTTTTCAAGATGAATAAGCCCCACCCGGCTCTAAGCTGCTTTGTGAGCCTTTCATTAAGAGGAAAATATCAATAAATTAAGGAGAATCTTCCAAATAATACATTATTTAAACCAAATGTAGAATTTACTCAATTTAGATTTTATTCTCTTTATTAACATCTTGTTTCTGCCTCTTGCAAAAAAAGATGTTGGATGGCAATCCTCAGACTTCATCCACCATTTTCTTTCCTCTCCTTTGCCTGCAGGGACCTGAAATTGGATAATCTGCTTTTAGATGCTGAAGGATTCGTCAAGATCGCAGATTTTGGATTGTGTAAGGAAGGTGAGTTACTTTGGTGAAGCCCAAACTGAACCATCAGAACCAGTTTAGGATCTGGGCTTTAGTAAAGTGTTCACAAATACAGGTACTGAGGTGGCTGTGTGTAACTTGTATTCATCCCCATCTTAAAAATAAAACAAAATCCACCAAAAAAAACCTCCCAGCACACCAAACAACAAAAAACCCTCACCTGTCTGTCCATGCTGAACTTCAAAAGGGTACTTTGTCTTTTACTCTTCAGGAAGCTTATGAAGGAGTTTACAATGTGCTTGTTTGCTCAAAGGAGCCAGAATATAGGATACCGCAAATTATGTACTTCGCGTAAACGAGCAATGGAATCTGCAGGAAGTTTCCGTGGTTTTGCTGTTTATTTAGGTATTGTCTGTGTATTTCTTATTTGGAGTTTTTAGAGGCCTCAGGTTTCATACTTCCTTATTGGCGTTTACAAGCATTGATGAGAGCCCTTGCCTGGTTAACAACATTAGATTATCAAGTAATAATCTATGGCTTTCAGAAGGTGAGACTGCATGTGATCAGTTGTGTGCTGGATTTTACAAAAGTGTTCTTTTCCTACAGGAATAGGTTTTGGAGACCGCACAAACACCTTCTGTGGCACTCCTGAATTTCTGGCTCCGGAAGTCCTGACGGACGTCTCGTACACTCGGGCAGTAGACTGGTGGGGATTGGGTGTACTCATTTATGAGATGCTTGTTGGTGAGGTAAGACCACCTTTCTCTAAGAGGATTTTGCTAAGCAGTCTTGGGGAGAGTAGCACCCGGCCACCAGAGATAAAATTTGTAATTTAATTTTTTAATTTAAAAATTTTAATTTATTTTCAATTTAAATTTTTAATTTAAGTTACATTTTTCTCATTCATAGAGCTTGCCAAACACTAATTAATCCATACAACTCCCTGCTATTCTCATCCCTATTTAATAGGGAGGAATGGGTGCTATGTGAATTAAGTAATAAAATGTCACAATTGCAGTCACCATTCCCTGGAGATGATGAGGAAGAAGTCTTTGACAGTATTGTAAATGATGAAGTCCGGTATCCACGATTCCTTTCATCTGAGGCACTTTCTATAATCCGTAAGGTAATGGGCTTGATGGGTCTCTGAAAGCCTGAGGAATTTGCGTTTACTGTGTAAGTGAATCCAGAGGGACTCTGGTGGGACGGAATAGCACTCGTGTATGTAATCTGGAGCTGCCTACACAGACTAAGGAAACATTTAAAATTTACACATACTTTTCCTTTCCTGCTCTTTACATAGATGCTGTTCTTCTGTCTAAGGGTGACTGAGCAGGCTTCTTACGGAGGTCTGTTGCTGCTAAGTCTGAAATGGAGAAGGGTTGATTCAAGGGCAGGGCTGTCAGAGTCATTCAGTGGGGGTGGCTTGATTCAGTTTTTGAATGTGACCCAGTAGTCACAGGTGCACAATTTAGATGAGGTGCTTCGTGCATTTTATAGCGGGTATCTTATTGGTGTTGGCAAGTTGTTTACAAGGAACTAGGTCTGAGCTATTACTAGCGGATTATGACCTTGCTGCAAAGTGAGAATGAGAAGATACTAAGGGGTCAGTCCATCTCCTTCCTTTTGTTTTTCTCTCTGGAACATTATTTCTTTCCATCCTTGTTCCAGTAGTTTAATTTTGAACTGATATTTCCTGCAGCTTCTTCGGAAATGTCCAGAGCGTAGACTGGGAGCAGGGGAAAAAGATGCAGAAGAGATTAAAATCCAGGCCTTTTTTAAGGTAGGAACTCACTTTATCCCTGCCCCTCATCTCTTGTGTTTGAGCTGAGAGCAATCTGCTTTCTGTTGGTACTGAAGCATGTTTCCATTAGTTATCAGTGAGATCTTAGCGGTAGCTTCTGTTGCACCTCATTGCTCTATTCAGGAATATGTGTTTCAATTCGTGTTTGAAATGACACCCCCCAAACGTGTTTTCTGGGATGTGTAAGCTTCCAGAGCCAGTTTGTTATTTCTGATTGTGCTGCTTCTATGTACAAATATACCTTCCTTTTGAGCCATCAACAAACAGCCCTTTTTAAATCAAACTGCAGCAGTCAAAGATGCTGTCTCGTGATGACAGCCTTACAGCCCCTGGCTGGCTGTGCACTGGAGTAAGAGGAGAACTTGGATGCCAGCAGAAATTGCTGGGAAGTCCACAGATCCACCTGGCCACAGCTGCACTTCAGTTTTGTCCCTCCGAAATACAGTTTGAGCTGTAACTTAATTTCTTGGTGTTCTGAAGAACAACCTTAGACTGTATGGAATCTCTGTACTACCTGGCCTGCACCGACTATGCTGTTTGCTTTGGGCCTTTTTTTCAATTCTCTCTCTCTTTTTTTTTTTTTTTTTTTTAAATCCCCCCCCCCCAGTTAGTGGAAATAAGACATTGCAAATGATCGGGAAGGGAGGCTGCAATCCTTCCTCTTACTTTCACATTTCATAAATAATCTTAATGTCAATCTGGTCTGTTTGCTTCTTTCTCTTACAGGAAATTGATTGGGATGCCTTGTTTGCCAGGACTCTGAAGCCCCCTTTTCTGCCCACTTTAAGAGATCCGACTGACGTCAGCAACTTTGATGAAGAGTTTACATCGCAAAAGCCAATCCTTACTCCTCCAGAGGAGGTTGCTCTCCTAACCCGTAAGGAGCAGACTGTCTTCAAGGACTTTGACTTTGTCTCCAGGCACCTTTTAGATGTTTGATTCCTGTGCTATAAGAAACATGAACAGGTTGTTACCACCTTGAGAGAGTGTAGAGGACTTGGCATGAGCAATGGAAAAGTCAACAGAATTCCTAGAGCTGGTAGTGCTGATGACCCCAGGATGAGAGTGCCCTGCAACCTGAGTTAACCTACTGTGGTTTTTTCGGCCTCATTTGTTGGAGGGATTCTGGATGTCAATTATCTTTAAGGAGTAATTAATGTTTGACTGGATGTATCTTCTGCTGCCATGGAATATAGATGGAAATTTTGAATTTAAGCTGGACTTAACGAAATCAAATCATCTCTGCAGCCCAGGTTACTCTTTGCAAAAAGCCTAAGTAAGTAGCACGGCTTTTTTAAGTTGCGTAGTAGCAGGGGGAACGGCCGCTTCTCACCTATTTTCTAGAAAAGATATGCAGCATTCCCTCTTTGTAATGATTTTATGCCCATTCCCACTCATAAGTATGTGTATGCCAGAGAAGGAATGGATTTTAACACAACCAAGACAATGATGTTTGGTTTGATAATGATCCAAGTGATCCATCTTAAGGAAAAGGAGTCTCTTCCTACTTCTTTGAGGGCGCTAAATCTTAGCTATTGTTTTTAATGATATAAGAAAGCCACAGCTTTGCACATGCTATTTTTTTGGAAAATAAAGATACCTTTCCTTACAATGAAATGTCAGCTTTTCATCTCCTTTGTGTTAGCCGAATGTTTCAGGTCAGGGCTAACCATATTTTGCCCAACAGGCAGGATTTTATTTCTCTCTGTAAATGTCAATAGTACTATTTTCTTTCTTCCTTCCTTCCTTCTCACTCAAGTCTGTGTACATATTGCATGGTGTCATCAGCTGTCACGTGCAAATGATTGCAGTCAAGTTGTCTCTCTGCAGATTTTATCAACGTGTGTGTCCTGTATCTTTTTTGGGATAGCTAAATAATGACAGTGTTAATATAGGAAGGTCAGTAAGTTAAAGGTGATTTCGTTTGCCTGGTAACATATCTCGTAATCATACTTGATAAGATAAATTTTCTTCTCTTAAATTCATAATGTTAGCTTGTTGGGCGAAAAAAGGAAGGGTATCTAGAAATGAAGCATCACACTGACGACAAAGAGGGAGGCACAGCTATTACTCTTTCAGTTTGTCTTCAACAGAGGTAGACAGAAGTTGAACTAACGCAATTGTGCCATATCTGGAGATAAGGTTCGGGTGCAGCTAGTGAGTCGTCGCCGTTAAATCAAGACTGGTCTAAGTGCTTCAGAATTCAGAGAGGTAAGAGCATATGTTTGTGCAAACCAGAAATAATTCACACTGAACCTAGATTTCCTATTTGCAAAGCCAAGCGTAACTGCTGCTGAAAATTCCTGCGTCCAAATACCCTTTCAGCCTCCTGCTCTGCCTTGCAGCGTAATGGCCCATTTAAAGCAGGATACACATTTTCCTCACGCTTGTTTGAACAGTAACGGTTGGCTTGCTGTTGGCCCCTCAGTGCGTTTTGTGACTTTTCTTAAGGTCCAGGCCCCTGTGAAGTGGTAAGTATCCCAGTGGAGTGTTAGCACAGGTGAAACCTAGAACTTGGGTTCAAAGAGAGAGGCATTAAAACCCAAAAAAGGCATGTTTAATCTTTTAATTTATAGTTTATAGTAAAGTAAAAAGACTGTAAATTACCATCCTGGTGCATTTAAACAAGAATTACCGAACAGAGCAAAACTGTGTGTTTTGAGATGTAATACCTGCTGACAAATTTTTGACTGATACCTGAAGAACCAGAACTTGCTGTGTGGCAGATGAGCCCTACTTCAGCAGGTGCCACGCTGACACAAACAAACATTAAAGATACAGAGGTGCTGGAGCATGGCCAGAGCAGGGCAGCGAGGCTGGGGCAGGGGCTGGAGCACAAGGCTGGGGAGGAGCGGCTGGGGGAGCTGGGGGGGCTCAGCCTGGAGAAGAGGAGGCTGAGGGGAGCCCAGTTGCGCCAGGGCAGGTTTAGGTTGGATATTAGGAAAACTTCCTTCACCAAAAGGGCTGTCAAGCATTGGAACAGGCTGCCCAGGGAAGTGGTTGGGTCCCCATCCCTGGGGATATTGAAAAGCCAGGGAGATGTGGTGCTTAGGGACGTGGTTTAGTGGTGGTTGGACCTGATGATCTTAAAGGTCTTTTCCAACCTAAACGATTCTATGATTCTAAACTGCAGAATCCTTTCTGGATGGCATACCATTATTACGAAAACAATTCTGAGCGTTCTGATATCCCTCTGATGGGGAGTTTCTACCCTGAATGAACCAGACTGGACACAGATTACAAACTCTGGAGTTGGTCAAAAAAGGGATCCTTCTGCTGTTTTTAAAGTGCTTTAGGACTGTCGTGCTGTATTAGTGACTACGCTGTCCTTTCACGAGCGCTCATCAACTTTAAACCCTGAGTGCATCCTACCAGCTTGCCAGATGTGCTCTTGAGCTGCTGTTAGTTCCTGAGCCAGGCAATTAAGGCACAAAATAATTTTAACTAAGGTTTTGTTGTGGTGCTGTTTTTTTGTTTTTTTTTTTTTTTTTAAACAGAAAAGGGTCAGGACTAAAATTCACACCACAGCCTCTTCTGGTTTTAAAGCCAAAATTGGTCATTCCCAAACTTCCTTTTAGTTCCTCATAGAAACTTGAAGTTTGACCCTTTATTACAATGGAAACAAGTAAGCTTGCTGCTACCCTAGAAAGCTACCAGCACCCCCTCACCTCAATTGAACAAACAGGACCTAGAATCTTTCCTCTTGCATTGAAACTTTGTATTCTTTTATTAAAACTTTACTAGCATGTTGAGGTAGTAGTATTACCAATAGTGTTACTTGAGCTAGGCAAGAAGTAACCCTCTGCTACTGGTTCTCTCCCCACAAGCTACAGGAAAGGCCTGAGCATGAAGTTATCCGCAGAAATAATTCAGTAGGGAAGTATTACTTTTCTGTCCAAAGAAAAGTTGATGGTATCATTCGTTGCTGAATCGATTCAAAATAGTCTGTGAATTGTTAACAGCACCATCCACTTCAGAAACTGTTAGGAAGCTGGTCAGGGCATCACAAAGTACAGGCTAATTATCGCCTAAGCTGAATTTGGTGCCTTGCTGCTGTTTCTCATGCACATTAACGCTATTAAACCTCAAATCTTTGTGAAAAGCAGAAAGTTTAGGCATGTGGTCAAAATGAAATTTGCTTTTGACTGTCCAAATATTTACTCAAATATTTCTATTACGTGCCCCACGCTACTGACAAAAGGCACTGCGGTTCTCACAGTGAGAACGATGTTGCAGAAAGGCCACAGGAATTATATTGATTCTGGCTGGTTTTGTCTGTAATAGCTGCTGTTCCCCAGCAGCAAAGGGAGAGGGAAACTCTGGGGAAGAGAAGTGAGCATGGATGCTCACGCTACTCTTGCATCTCTTCTGGAGAGGTGTGGATGCAGTGAGCAAAAGGAAGTCAATTTAGAGAGAAACCTTTGCTCAGTCCAGAAATCAGCCCTGCTGGCCTTCCCAGAACCAGTGTCTCCCCTTTAACAGTGTTATTCGTATATAAAAAATAACCCTGACTATCCTTGAAATGTAATTTGCAGGATGAACAGGTTGTGGAACAGGCTGCATAGTTCACGATGTACTAAAGCTCTGTGCAAGCAAACAGCAGCAATTGCATTAGCAAAGCTTTACCCAGCAACCTGCAGCTGTGTTGGCACTCTACCAGGGAGGTGCTGCTGTGACTAGACAGGCTCGTTGTTCCTGTGAAAATAGATTTTCTCCCATGCAGTGAGGTGGCAGGAACAGAAGAACCTCCAGAGATTGAGGATTACCCCTTGGTCAAAGGGATTCTCCGACTCCGAGTGTTGCAGGTAGGAGATGCGATGATGCGACATGAATTCCCAGGTGGTGGTGTTGCATGAGATCAGATAGAGGTGTGAAATAAGCAGCAGCAGGACAACAATGGTGAATATGACCATCAGGAGGAAGGAGGCGAGGAGCAGAATGTTGTGCTGCAGCCAGTCCCAGGACTGTTCGAAGTAGAGGCCTGACCTTTGAATTCAAAGAGAAATAAATTCACAGTGAAAGATGTAGAACTAATTACATAAAACAAGCAAACTTGATGGCACATTTGAGTTTGATTCATAACTAACTAGTGAGCTTCTGATAATCATTTACTACAGAGAGTTAATATACTATAAACTCTTAAGAGACCGCGCCAGTAGCGACTTGGAGTCTGAGAAGGTTAAAAGATGCTGGTTGCCCTGACAGCTGAGAGAGACAATCATCTCCAGAACTCCATACTCCTCTCCTGAACCGGCATACAGCTGAAACCCTGCTGCAGTTTCCTGTACTTGGATTTGTACACTGAACCAAAATTAGTTAGCTTTCGTGGTGTTGTTAATTCTGTTCATTGAAGCTTGAAACAAAGATGAACAATGAAACCCAAATTATCAGATTCTGCTCAACTATTGACCAGCTACGTTGTTCCTCAGCAGATGAGGGGGTCAGAAGAGCTGATCTCCAGGATGCAAAAGAGGGTGAAGATACAAAGCCAGTCCAGCCCCTGCTATAAACCCTTGAGTGGGGCTCTAGGAGCCCCACAACTTTCAGCAATCTCAGAGGTCAAAGTGCTGACTCCAGGCCTTACCAAGCAGCGTGACCTCCCCACAGCAGAACTACAAGCTGCACGCTCAAGTAGACTATGAAGAGGGGGTGATTCCTCTCTCCTACGCAGTTCTCAATCCAGGGACAGTGATGGTCGTAGCGCCGTACGCAGTGTTGGCACAGCTGGCAGTGCTTGGCTCGCATTGGTTGCTGCAGAACAAAACCAAACACTAGCAATAGTCCACTGGTTCAACTCCCTGCTTGGTGGAAGAGAGCATCGTGCAATACGGCCTCCCTCCACAGCAGTGCTGTCCCAAAGCACTCCGTTTTGAGATAACGGCGCAACATCAACATTCCCAAGACAACTAAAGGGGATCGCGATTCCCCTATCACAGAGCCAAATAAGGGAGGTTCAAATCAAATGACTCCCACGCTACTTCTATCTATACATTTTCTTTATTATCTACCTATTTATAAGAAGTCCAGTGTGCAAAGGAGGGAGATGGAGCCAGTCTGTTCTACTCAGGAAAGCACGAGCAGAGTGTTGAGGTGAAAAACGAGGACCACAGCTATTGAAGAAAGCGTGCAGGGATGGGATGCCTACGGGACGGCACAGAGGAGGGAAGTGTCCCTGCTTCGGTGTGAATACAAGACACGTGCACGGGAAGGCAGCTCAAGTACCAGGAACAGAGAAGATGAAAGATCTGGCTGAGGAAAGTAGTATGAGTGTGCCTCCTAGGATTTGTTCCCTGAAGCGTATATAAGTTTTGCCAGCTTTTCCTCTTGCAATAAGCTGGCTTCTCCTGGTAGATATTCTTCAGGAATTTATGGAAGCTGGGATAATGCTGGATTTTATTAAACTGATAAGGATCATTCTGAAAACAGGCATTTCTAGGCTTTAGGCAAACTGTTTTAAGAGCTAATTTAATTGCTAATTTTCCCTTCATGCTGTCTTTTACAACTCAGACTAATGTTTTGTTGGTTTTGGGCCTCCAAACAAGCTCATAGCTACCAGCAGTTCTTATATGTCACGCCCAACCGCTTTTCTGACTCTCTATCAAGATATCTTCAAACTAACCTTTTTGACAATGCCGTCAGGTCTGACTGACATGGCAGTAAGACTGTAGAACACAATTTTCCCATGGCAGAAGAAGATCCTTGTTTCTGTGAGCCAGCAGGGACTTGTTTCAGCCTTGGAAAACTAGCATACGTGCCAATGTCCATCACTACTACACCTATAGCTACACAATTCATTTGGATCACTTTTCAATTCAGGACTGTATCTGAATTCAATTTGCTAGTTGTATTTACTTTTCCTGTGAGTTCTTCAGCAGATCGGATCTGCCATGCCTCCAAACCACTGAGCAGCGAGCAGCAATGACAGAGCAGAAAAACACCGGCAACAGCAGCTGAACAAAGGTGATGCCAAAAAACGTAAGCTTGCAAATCGCTCATCCTGTTCTCTTCTAGCACGTTATGAATGCCTACCTTCACCATGCAGTAACCGCAACGCCGCATCTTAATGTTACTTGGAACTTGGGGTGTCACCATGCTTTGTTCTTCGCTCTTGCCTGCCTACAAAACAAGAGAAAGGGAGTGACTAAGGAGGTTTTGTGTGCTGCTGCCTTGGCATGACTGAGCTGTCTGCATCCTTAACAGTTACACAGTGCTGGCTCTCTCTATCATTAGGAAGGTTAAACAAAATAATTCCTTAGAATTCCTACAGAAGCTGCAGACAGTTAAGGTACAGCGAGAGAGAACGGGCTACTGTAACCATCGAAAGAATGTTTGCACAGAGGCAGAAATAATTGTGGACAAGATACCCCGCTGATCCCAACACTATGCTTTGGGACAAAAATAAACAAGGTTAGACTCGCTTCCAAGGACAATAATGATATCTTTTCGCTATAAGCAGCGCTACTTATTCATAACACAGCCAACATTTACATTAAGGACGGATGATTAACATCAATAATGCTTTTGTCCTACACAATCTCTCTCAGTTACTGAAACTTTGCATCTCTGTTTACTTCACTGTAACTTGTTTGTGTACATGTCCTCTGAGAGGGCAACCAATCTATAACCAGTTCGATAAATAGAGCTGCAGAGAGCACTTTCTTCCAAGCTCGCCATTCAATTTGGGTTTTCTGCACTTGTACCACTTAGTGGTCGTTAACATGAAATAGGTCGTGTATACATGCTATAGGGGTATCGCAGCCTCTGACACAAGAGAGGACTTAGGCTCAAATGGCACAGTGCACTTACAACAGGAGCGTGGTGTAGAAGACATGCTTAAAGTCTATGAACCCTGTTGCTGGTACAGAACGTGAATCAGAGACTGTCCAGCCTCATCCCCACGGCCTGTGTATGTTCCTTCATGCCAAGTGCAAGAGAAACTGTTTCAGATTGTTCTTATCTAGCAGAGTGGGGAAAAGAAAAAAAAGCCTATAGATTTTATAGCCTCACCACTTTCTTCCATTCATGAAGTGATATACCTTCACCTCCTCTTCAGCCTTAACAAAACCCGGATCCATGAGAGACACCTTAAAGTACAGCAGGACAGAGCACAAAACCAGCAAGACGAAGCTCAGTGGCTGCAGCAGCTCTCCGCGCTCCTCCTGCTTTCGAAGATCTGAAAGGTAGCCCAAAAAAAAAGAGAGCAGTACTTCCTTGTGAAGCGTTTAGGATTTTTCTCTCTGGCTTTAACGAAGGAGTCCTGCACCTTACAGGAAGGGGGGACGGGGAGAAAACGGGGAGAAACCAGGCGTGGGGTGCGCAAGGGAGAGGCGGGCAAGGGAAGGGGCTCCTGAGGGCCCCGCAGGGCCCAGGGGCCGAGGCGGGGCGGAGAACCCCCGCGTCTTCCCCCGCTGCCCGGGCGCAGGGGGCCGGCACAG